TGTGCAGGAAAAAATTGCCAAAGCTTTAGGCTTTAGGGTTTTTTTGGTTTTAGGGTACAGTAGCCTCCGTGGGCTAGTGCAGTTTGTCATTAAGTGATGGCTTCCAACAGCGGTGTGGGGGATATAGTCCTCCTTAAGTAGATAGAATATGGGGTATATGGGGATCTTTTTATAATATACCCAAAGCCATATTCTATCTACTTAAGGGGGACTAACCCCAGCCAAGGGGCTTTGCACCATGGGTTTGTTAGCTAGGCTGGCTGCACCACGAGGGGAATGAAATGGGCGGCACCTCTTTTTGCATGGCTATCATAAGATGGGTTTAGGGGAGCTTCGCTGAAATGGTCCATAAATAGGGGGGCCCCAGTATAGATCCCAATATACTGTAATCACTGTAATCCTGATAATGGCGACCCAAAATAGTGCCTCTAATCTCAGGAAACCACAAAGTAGCTCTCATTCCAACACCTCGCCTCCAGCGGGGTATAGACATGTCAAAACCTAAAAACCGGCTCGGCAAATCAAGATGTTCATTGCCATTGTAGCGGCCGCATATTGCGGGACCTGCTGCCACATCGCAGGCAGCAGCTGCCTTCGCTTTTGCATCCGGCATGGCTGCTGGAAGCTTAGAGGTTCACGGGGGGCAGCTGTCTCAGGATAGACTAAAGGTTTGTGCTTTGAGACTCCTACAATTAACGGATTCATTCCTTCGCCTTGGACCCAAGTAAACTATCCCCTACATAGGCACCGGTTTCCATCTCATTCTCCACTCTTTTTTATTTGATTCTCCATTCTTGGGGGAACATATCCCCATATATCCATGTATAACAACTGCAGAGCACGTCACAGGCTCAAGGGTTTCAAGCACGGAGCAGTTTCGTTTGGCGAGAGACAAGCCCCTGAAGCAATACCCTGTTCACAAGCTCCCCATCCGCACACCCTTCTGCACATCCATGATTGATATCCATTCGGAAACGGAATGGCAAGCACCTCAGCCCTAAACCCATCTTTGCACAGAGTTTGAGACCCAGGCGCTGCACACGGTGACCCGCTTGCTGAAGTATGGGGATCAGGTTGGGCCATGCTTAACAATCCTAATATCAGTACTATAATTATGAACAACAATCCAAGTTTTTAGCCAGAAGAATGCTTATTTTGTTGTTAAGACTGATAGGACTAAAGCTACTATTGCTCGTAAGAACGAGAATTGCTAATATCAATAGGGATAGTAAGGTTATTAATCGTATGAATAGCATTAACAACAGCATAAATGGTACTACTATTACTCTTACTATTACTTTAACTACTATGCTTATTCTTTAAGTATTATTCTTATGATTGTTATTGTTGGCACCCAGGAGATGCAGGGACCTGGTCGGTTTAGGGAGGGAGCAGCTTCGAGCTCTATGCTGCAGGGTAGCTGCATGCCCCCATTATTGGGTTTAAGGTTTAGGGTTTAGGGTTTGGGATTTAGGGTTTTGGGTTTGGGATTTAGGGTTTAGGTTTTAGGTTTTAGGGTTCCTAAACCCTAGACCCTAAACCCCAGGATTTAAGGTTTCGGGTTTAGGACCTTGAAGTCTTTGAAGTGCTGGAGGTGATCGCAAATGAGGACATCTACGGTGGTATGCACAGGCTTTTGACCCAGGAGCGCTGAAGGGATTAGGGCTTAGGGTTTAGGGTTTAGGGTGGTGTGGAGGGTTTTCATGGAAGCCCTTCAAGTGCAAGCATGTTGAGGCATGTCGAAAGGATACTAGGGTTACAACAGACTTGATACGGAGCAGGGTTGAGGGTTTAGGGTTATAGTCCCCCTTAAGTAGATAGAATATGGCTTTGAGTATATTATAATAAGATCCCCGGGGACCATACCCTAAACCCTAAATACTAGTTTCCATTTTCTTTTCCATTATCCCAATAGAACCCCAATGTAACCCCTATCTACTTAAGGGGGACTATAACCCCTAAACACTAAACCCTAAACCCTAAATCCCACACCCTACATCCTAAACCCTAAATCCTATATTCTATCTACTTAAGGGGGGGCTATATCAGTTCATGGCTGCGGAAGAAGCTCTCAGAAACGTTTCAAATCAAGCAGAGAAGTTTGCTGATGCGAAGTGAGCTAAAGTCTAAACCTCCTAAAGGGCGGTTATATATCGTTTGGGGATTTAGGGTTTAGGGTTTGGGATTTAGGGTTTGTGGTTTGGGGTTTGGGGTTTAGGGTTTAGGGATTTAGGGATTTAGGGTTTAGGGTTTGGGATTTAGGGTTTAGGGTCTAAACTCCTTAAAGCGGGTTACTTAGGGGATTGGCCAATTTGGGGGGCCACTAAAAACCATGGGCTTGCTATGGTAGTGGGACGGCCAGCTTCAGTTCGGCAATCACGGCGTTTGTCTTGTTGCAGATTTGGCAGGACTGCACCAACAGCGGCATTGATGCATCTTGCACAGGATAAGCACCTTTTTTTCTTTGGTTGTGCCGGCAGTGGTACGTGTCAGCAGTGAGACCACGCTTTCTTCCTTTAGTCTATGTTTCCATATGTAGCGCAACAGCGCAATGGGACAGTGGCTTGATTCACCTCTCCCGTTATTGTCTGCCTGCTTTAGTGTGTTTACTGTTTTGGTATCATGTTGAATGACTTGATGTTTGGGCTAACAGTTCAAGAGCTGTGCATTGTAATGCCAGAGAGCACAAGGTCAAGTTCGTGGACACTACAGACCTGAACGCCTTGAGCAAGGCAGTCCATCGAAACTTAGCTTACATGAGCTATAGTCTAAACTCCTGAAAAGGGGGTTATATAGGGGATAATATAGGGGACTGCTATAGGGGATATTAAGGGGGATACTAGGAGTTTAGACTATGGCTCACATGTGCATTCTGTTGTTGCTGCAGCTCACATGGTTATGATCAGAACTTCTGCTGCTGCCGCTGCTGCTGCTCCTGTTTCTGCTTTTGCCGCTGCTTCTTGTTCTCCTTGCTTCTCGGGGCAACATTTGGCAACGTAATTCCAGTAAGTCTTACTCGTACTTTCAATGGGGGGGGTGCCCTGGCTTCAAACGCTCCATCGCGCTGATTCAAACTCCATTCAGCAGGGTCGCAGCCAGGACTTTCCAATTCAGATTCATGCTGGTAGTTTCCCTAAACAGGGGGTCCCTAAATAGACCCCAAAATATTCTAATCTTTAGAATAGGGACCCCCAGAAATGCACTCCTAATTCTAGGAAATCCATGTGTTATCACAGGCCATCACGCCGAAGACTCGCCTCATTCACTTGGAGAGCCCGTGCGGGGCCCACGCACTCTGAGTGAAAGCCACATGCGAGAGCATAGCATCTGTTGGCTTTCAGGGTTTAGGGGTTTAGGGTTTAGGGTAAGTTCCAGAACATTAGCTAAGAACGTACGTAGGTACGCCTCTCAAGCTCCAGCAATGAGGTCGAATCCCAGGATGCGCATCACTGATATCAGAGGCGTTTGCGCCATTGCCCACAAGTCAGGAGCTCAGGAAGCCATTAGAGAAAACATGAACTAGAATTTTGGGTTTAGGGTTCATACAGGGTTTCACAGGCTTCTTTATAGAGTGTTAAAGGGATGATGGAAGCAGAAAACCGAAACTACTTTGTGGAAGTGTTCAACACATGCTTTGGCAATCTCTGGGAAAGCTCCGATGCAAGGCATGGCATTCTCGTCAGTGTGGACAGCACCATGATGCCGCCGGTGATTTGCAAGCCGCTCACTTTGGGCCTGCCCCTCAGGGTTTCGGGTTTAGGGTTTAGGCACGCTTGAGGTCTAGGGTTTACCATTATTAGCATGATTATTGTTATTATTTTCTTGTGATTAACATTATGATCATTACCAGTACTACTACTACTCTTATAATTAGTTTCACTTTTTCTAGTATTGCAATTGCTAATATTGTTTCCCTCCAACAGCAGCAGCGAGACCAGACACGAGTCAAATGAAAAATAGCGGTAACAGCATCTTCAGGGTTCTGGGGTTTGGGTCCCATTATATAGGGTTTTGGGTTGAAGGTTTAGGGAATTGAGGGTTTAGGGTATAGGGTTTAGGATTTAAGGTTTAGGGAAATTATTGTCAGAGTTAGAGCGAAGTAGATCACACTGTTCCTAATTCACAGCACTGACAAACATCGCAAGAAGCAGAACTAAGAAGGCCCCGACAATAACCCGAAACCCCAAATAGTAGTTCCATTTTCTTTTCCATTATCCCTATAGAACCCTATACTACCCTATATTATCCCAAGAATAACCCCAAAACCTATTCAGAGTCTTGCTTACTACCCTAAACCCTAAACCCTATGGTTTAGGGTTTAGGGTTTAGGGCAAGAAAAAGCCCTTTTCGCATCCTTCAGGCGTCGACATCGTGGTGCACTCTGCAACCAAATTCTTCTCTGGCCATGCTGACTGTACTGGCGGCCTCGTCTGTGTGCGCGATCCTGCAGGGACCCCAGCAACTACACGAAAGCATATTACACTATAACTATAATATACTATAAAATAGTATGATATAGTATAATATACCATAAGGTTCTATAATATACCCTAATATACTATCCTTGTCGGATCACAGAATCCATCTTGAGCCCCAGCGTATGTCAGGAGCTTGCGCATCGTGTGGCTTTTCTGCAGAACGCAGAAGGCACAGCCCTGGCTCCCTTTGAGACCTTTCCTCAGCTACAAAACCAGCAGTCGCAGTAAGGTTTAGGGTTTAGGGTTTAGGGTTAAGGGGCTATATACCAGCAGTCGCAGTAAGTATTGGGATAATGGAAAAGAAAATGGAAACTACTATAGTATATTGGGGTTATATAGGGATAATGGAAAAGAAAATGGAAACTACTATAGTATATATTGGCTGATGAATTCAAGGATGGCAGCCGTGAGAGATTGAGCTGAGGTGTTTCCTTTTCCTACGGGGCATCAAGACCATGTTCTTGTCAGCGCCTGGGTACACTTCGCGAGAACAGTCCGTGCAAGACATTCAAGTGCAGCCAGGCGGGTAGAGCGAGCGCAGCAAAACGCCCGTCGAGCCGAGACCTCAGCAACATGGGGCTTGCCCATTGCCAGCTAGCCTCTTTTAGAGGGGTTGGCCTGAGGTTGTGAACTTTTTGCTCCGGAATAAGCACATCAACCAGGCAATGGCCTCAGTGTTGCTTTCCACTGGGAATTGTGCTGCATTGGCTCGAAATCAGAAACTGCAGAGAGTGACCCTTTCCTTGACAAGGTCTTCTTCCCAGGCCCAGGAGGATGCGACCCCACCAGCACGACCCTTAACACTGAAGACGCTGGCGGACTTAGGGATCCCTTTTGCGCAACACCATCGGCCAAAGGAGGGCCCTAAACCCTAAACCCCTAACCCCCGAACCCCTAAACCTAAAAGCAGCTGCTAAGGCCTGGCCATTCATTGGTCCCAAAGCAAGGGCAGTGGATCCGTGATTAGCCTGACCACAGGACAAGAGTTTGGTTTGGGGTTTTGACGGCCTCAGGGTCTAGGGCGATGCTGAATTTAGGGTTTAGGGTTAAGGGTTAAGGGTTAAGGGTTTAGGGGTTTAGGGGTTTAGGGGTTTAGGGGTTTAGGGTTTATAAGTTTAGGGGTTTAGGGGTTTAGGGTAGTGGTCCAGGGTGTTTTGGCTGTGCTTCCAATATCTCATGTTTCTTACCGTGTGAGAACGTTCCTCCTTGGCGGCAGGGTCCTGTGACTCTCAGCAGACGTCAATAAGGACACTTTGATTCTTGACCAGTGCGTAAGGAGTACATGTTTTTGGGTTGTACCTGTAAGTGCTCTTTTTCCCAAGCTGCATCCCCAGTGGGGAACAAGGGAATCAGGAAAAGATCTCCAACAAATCCTTCTATACTACGTTCTCATATTCCCTACTAACCCTAAAGCCTACCCTAAACCCTATATATTCCCTTGTTCCCTACTAACCCCCAGTCTCCTAAATCCTGAGATGCAATGGAGGATCAGTCGAATTTTCTCGGCGCCTCGTGGATGCTTGTGTGGCTCCCAGAGTTGCCGCTGCATCCGGTTTAGGGTTTGGGGAGCTGCCTAGGGTTTGGGATTTAGGAAGCAGCCTAGCTGTAAGCTATATCTCATTCATCAACTCTCAACCCTAAACCCTAAAAGGGGTTTTAGAGTTTAGGAATTAGGGTTTAGCTAGTTGCTGGTAGGGAATGGAGGAAGTCATCCCTGCAGTTGCTCCTATTGCCCGGAATATCATGGTTTCCGTTTCGGCCTCCATTCCTTCATTCCTTACTACCAACCAAAATTTCAACCCTAAGTCGTCCCTGAATATCTCCATAAACTCCCAGTTTCTATGCAGTTTTCAATTCGCTGTAGCATGTGACTTTCCAGTCCCTACCCTTAAAACCCTCTACCCTAAACCCTATCGTATCCTATCGTAAAGTACCCTAAACCCTAACAAAACCTGCAGTAAATTAGTTTCTTTCCCTTCCCTGCAGATACTGGGTTGCTGTTAAGGACCTTAAGATAAGTTGCCATAATGGGAGAATACATATATACATATATATACACATAAGTATATGTAGTAATTAGTATGGTTTCCCCAATATAGTAACCCCAAACCCTAAGCCGCTTACGTTCCTTAACAGCAAGTCAGGATAGCTTCTGCAGCTGAGGCAAGATTTTCAAGACGACCGTCTCCTTTGGCAGCGGGAGCCCGAGTTGGCTGACTAAGAGGGATAGGTTAAGCATTTAGGGCTTTGGGATTCAGATTTAGGGTTTAGGGTTTAGAGTTTAGGATTCAGGGTTTAGGATTTAGGGCTTAGAGTTTAGGGTCTAGGCTTCAGGATCTAGGATTTAGGGTCTAGGGCTTAGGGTTTACATTTAGGATTTAGGGTTTGGGGTGATTATCTGGGATGACTGGAATGGGAGTTTCTCACAGAGGGCGTTCCCAGGGACCCCAAGCATGGTATTGGGGTCATAAGGGGATTGTAGGGGTCCTTCTCAGGAATTTTAAAGGGAGCGCTTTGAGAAGTATCCAAATCAGGGGGTTTACCGGGATGGAAAGGCTAAACCCTAAACCCTTCCTTGAAAGGTGTTCTAGGCATGTGTCGGGCCCACTTAGTTGGACCAGTCGAGGACGAATGGCAACAAACGGACGATGAAATTGGATTTAGATTCGGATCCTACAGAGAAAATCTCCCTTGAAGAGAAGGACATGAACTATTGAACCCCTGGAACCTAAATCATAAACCCTAAGCCCTACAGCCTAAAACCCTGTCTCTGTTGTTACGTGCTTGTGCGGCTTCTCCTCCAGGTGTGAACAGTCTGCTTGAGATGCCATGCACAATGAGTCAGGTCCTCAGAGAGTGAAAGCAGGACGCCTTTGGATTCAGTACTGGTTTAGGGTTTAGGGCTTAGGTTTTAGGATTTCGGAGTTTAAGGTTTAGGGGTTTGGGGGTTTAGGGTTTAGGAGTTTAGGTTTTAGTGGTTTAGGGCTTAGGGCTGCAAAAGCAGCTCCGCCCATGGGACCTGAAGACTCCCCTGGCCGTGCTTCGCTCATACTCAATGGGTGGAGTGCAGATGCGCAATGCGGAGGCTAGTTATTAAAAAATTGGGTGATCCGTTATAGACCCAAAAAGTATCATGGGGATCCCCCTAAACCCTACAACCCTAAACCCTAAACCCTAAACTCGGACTCTCGTCTCTCTGGTCCTCAATTGATGTTTCTTTTCTGCTTCTGTTCACCTTCCTGCATGGTGTGCCTCTCTGTCTCTCTACTCCCTTCGTTTGCCCTCTCACTTGAGCTGTTTCTAAACTGAAGGGTGCTTATATTGGGGATTATATAGGGGACTACTATAGCGGTTACTAAGGGTGATACTTGGAGTTTAGCCCATAGCCCATTTAGTTTCCATGTCATTTTCCACTTTCTTTTTCACTTTCCCCATTCTTGGGGTAATATTCCCACACGGCCCTAATATTAACCCCCATTTAGGATGAGTGTAGAGGAGAAGCTTGGGGATCAGGGACCCCCAAGTACGCACGCCTAATTTTGTGAAACCCCCAATCACCCTTATGATTCTCCGTGTACTCCCACTTTCCATGTTCTTTTCCATGTGATTCTCCACTATAGTCGGGCAATAATATCCCCATATGAGCCCTATATAATCTCTATATAACACCCAATTAATCCCGTTATGAATCCCTAAACACTAAACCATTATGTAACCTCCATGCATTCCAAGGCCATGCCTCTATTCCAGCTGAAAAGAGGACCTTGGCTGACGACCTGATCAGGACCATCTAAGCACCCATGATGGAGATGAGGGTTTAGGGTTTGGGGTTTATAGTCCCTCTTAAGTAGATAGAATATGGGGTATATGGGGACCCTATTGTGATATACCCAAAGCCATATTCAATCTACTTAAAGGGGGATTATAAACCCTAATTAGCCTAAACACCAAGTTCCAGGACTCCAAGCCCTCAACCCTCTAAGTCTCTAACCGATATTGGTCCTAAAGACAGTAAAATGGCTATTTGGAACCCTAAGGTCAAGGGGCTTGGGTTTGCCATATTATTGCTACATTGTTACTTCTTGTTGCTATATTATATGATTACCATATTATTAGTATCTTCTTACTATCTGATTCCCATATCATTACTACACCCTGCATACCATTGTAGTCTTGTATCCGTACTATATTTGTATCACTATCTTCTTACTACGCGACTAGTACAGGATTACCAGATCAGTGCTGTAGGTATATTTCTTGTTGTTGGAATATTTGTATTCCCCTAAACCCTAAACCCCAAATCCTACACCCTAGAAGCCTTAGGAGCCGCCCTGTGGCACCGCGGCGCCAGGGGACAAGTGTTTCGACGCCGCTGGGCTGTGGGCTTTGGGGTCTCTACATCGCTGCGGGGGTGTAGCGTCTAGGGTTTAGGGATTAGGGTTTGGGGCTTAGAGTTTAGGGATTAGGGTTTAGGGCTTAGGGTTTAGGGGGTTCTCAAAATGAGGATACCCCTGAACAGGTTTAGGGTTTCTGCAAGTATGGCCTTGTAGGCAATCCATGCAGAAAGGGGATGAACAGTCGCTTCCCGCTGAAAAGAAGCGCACGCCCAACTACAAACTCCTTGGGACTTAGCTTGGACCTTAGACCCTTAACCTTTCGGGATTCCTTTATACTCCTATTATAGGTACCTAAAGGCCCCCTTCATTTCAAAAGCAATTCTAATCTGGCCAACAAGGGACAGTTCGGATTATAACTGGACTGCTTTCAGATTCTTCGATGTGCGTTCCTTGATGAAAAGCTGACATCGGGAAGGTCCCGAATCGCATTTGCTTTCTTTTTGTAAACGCCCTACTTGAGTCAGAACGCTTCTGATTCAGTATGAGGGTGGGTTATTGGGCCCCTGGCAAAGTGTCCTTCCTTTTCAATGTCTTCTTTTTGGGTTTAGGCCCCTGTCATCCAGTATATACGGGTGGGAGGGTTCGGGGCTTGACGCGGTTTGGGGATGAGATTTGCAGGTGGGATTTAAGTATTGTTTAGGGTTTAGGGATGATGTTGAATCAGATTTATGAGATCACTTTGGGCTTGGCCTAAGTCCCTTCCCGCCTTAACTTTTGAGGCAACGCATTCATTACTGGTGGTTAGTCAGCAGGGAGTCTGATGACAAACACTAGTGACAAAATGCTCGGGTACCTTTCTGGGCGAAGCACACATTCTCCCAGCAAACTCCCAGCAAACTCTAACCCTGAGCTCTCAACCACTGAGCCCTCGGAATCTCAAGTCTCCGAAGTCCTCGAACCGCAAACCCCAAACTCCCCAATCACAAATTTCCGTGCCGCTGAACCCTCAAGCGAAGCCGCAAAGCTGTTCAAGGAGATCAAATGGGCGAAGTCGGACGGTATTTTTGCCAATCCGGATTGGTATCCCGGGCCCCTTGCCGTTTGGGGCGGTTTTGGCGTCTTTGGTAATGGGTTTCATTTTGCAGGTTGAGATGAAAAGGGCTTACAGCTTGTTTGTTTGGTTCCGGATGTAGAGCTTCTGCCGGAGAATTGGGGGGTTCCAAAAAACAAGGGGTACCTTTTTGGGGGGTCCCATAATAAGGATTATAGTATTTTGGGGTCCATATTGGGTCCCCCTATTTATGGAAATTACCAATTAGTGGTTGTTCTCAATATTTGACCCGAAGGTGGCCAGAGGGGGTATGGTTTTGTTTAAGACCGCCTTGCGGAAGGGCTTGTGCAAGACTTGTAGAAAGTTTCTCTTTTGTTGGCCTGGAAGTTATTTAATAACAAAAACCCCAAATCCTGACGTTCAGGCTGAGTGAAAGCAAGGCCCCTAAACCCTAAACCCTAAACGTCAAACACGAGTCGCAGACTGCGGCTTTGGTATTGTAGGCTACTTGGGTTGTTCCCCAAATTATGGGCCCCTTTTGGTTATAGATTATATTACGGCATCTAATATCTAGGGGTACCAAAATGGGA